CCGGGGAAGCCTTGGGAAGAGCAGTCGGGGTGTAAACTACCGGGCAGCGCAGGGATTGGGGGAACACTGGACCCAAGGGTAGCGACTGGCCATGTATGAACAGTCCATGTGTTGTTTGTCGAATCACTTCCAGGAATACTTATTTCCAGGAAAGGACAGTGGCTTGAGAGTGGGTATTACAGAACAAATCCCAGGCTGAGTTTCTCTTTGATCAAGAAGATTATATAACAGTGACAGGCTATATCAGGGCTTTGAATGATAACCCAAGTCTGCCCAAAAAGAAATTTGGAAACCAGCTAATGTTTTTATACATAGAACGTCCCAATAAAAGATAGAGCCAATAAAGTTTGACATTAAGGGAATGTAAGCCATGTTCTTCATTCAAAGCCTTAGAGCTTAGCCCACATATGTGCTGAAATGTCTGCTCTCTGGTTTGCTCTATTTTTTATTTCTAGGAATTCATTTACGCCCTTATCAACTGGAGGGAGTCAACTGGCTAGCCCAGCGATTCCACTGTCAAAATGGCTGCATCCTGGGAGATGAGATGGGCCTTGGTAAGACCTGCCAGGTACGTTACTGTGAAGAAGCACTGTTTACCTACACCGAAACACCTCCTCACAACTCATTACCATATATATATAAAATTTTTGGTACCCCAGATTGAACTCAGGTGCACTTAAAAACTTAACCATACATCCAGCCCTTTTTTGTATTTTATTTGAAGACAGTGTCTTACTTAGTTGCTTAGTGCCTCGCTAAATTGCTGAGGTTGGCTTTGAACTCATGATCCTCCTGCCTTAGCCTCCGGAGCCAATGGGATTATAGGCGTGTGCCACCACACCTGGCTTAATACCATCTTTAAGTGCTGTTATATATGTGTGTGTGTGTATGTATATACTAGAGTGTGAAATGCTTAACTTTTAAGAGATCACAACCTTGGGTTTGATTTTTTCTAGTTGTGGGGGTAGTTATTAATTATGTCATTACCTTTATATGAGCATTGACATGTGTCTGTGAGAAAAGTTACTTGAGTTACAAGTGCAGTTAATGGGCCCAGGTTTAGGGCTTTTCTCTGTGTGAAGCATGTATACTTGCCCAAGGACCAAATTGACTGTGCTCCTTAGTAACACTATATGAAGTTAACTGTATTGCTTCTAATATTACTCTCTCTTTCTCAGTGGGGGTGGGTCGGGGTGGGGCTGCTGCCCATTTTTCTACAGTGATAGAGAAATATGGAGGAAGTACCCTATGTTTTCCAAAATAAAACTTAGACTCTCTGACCTTAAAAAGGGAGAATCAGATGTGGTCCCCTCGGGCATTGGTCTAGTGATCAATGGTGGAGTGTTGAAATTGATGCTTCTGCCAGGATAATAAGCAATACTGCCCTGGGTTGACACATGGCCTTGGATTAATGGAAAATTCAGTCACAACACCTCTTGGGTTAATCACATAAGGATTACTTATCTGAAGGATTCAAAAGATATCCTGTACAATCATGATATATGTCAGAGGCAGCTTGATCAGAAATCAGGAAGATAAAAACTTTTCAATCCCAGGAAAGTTTCACCAGTGGTCACTGGAGAGAATGAGCAAGGGTCTCATCATCCTCTTAGAAGTTCAACCGTCCCCTCCTTCTCTCTCTTGGGCAAACAAATCTGTTCCTGGTATATTCCTGTACGAGAACTATAAAACTAAAAATCAGTTTCCTGGAGGTATCCTCCGTATAATTTCCTTTCTCTCAGTCATTGAAATTGTCCTACTGACTTCACAGAGAGCCAGCAAATTCCACTTGTCTTTTGCCTTTCCACCTCTACTTTAAATTCTCTAAAAATATACCAACTCCAAGTCTGTTTTGGTAAAAGTATGTTTAGGAATTTTGCATCTACATTATGAAGGATATTGTTTTGTGATATTCCTTTTTTATACTAATTTTGTCTGGTTTTAGTATTTGGATAAAGCTGGCCTCATAGAATATATTGAAAAGTGTTGCTCTTCAATTTTCAGCAAGAGTTTATGTAAAATTGTTCTCATTTCCATTTTAGATGTTTGATAAAATTCACTAGTGACTCTAAATTTATTTGGTAGACACTTCTGATTTGTGGTAATAAAAGACAAACTTTCTCTAAATTGCATCCTCAGGGAGCACTCAACAAAATGGTTTTAATCCAGTTAAGCCACTTATTAGAGGGATGCTCTGGGCACACTTTGGGCTGGGATAGTTAAATGAGAAAATCATTTCCTTTATAAGATTAATATGATTGTATCAAAAAAAATGAACTGCCACTCTGTCATCACAGCACTCGAACCACAGCCATAAGAAGCAAGGTATGTTTTACATCTTTGAAGTTACAGTGCACATCTAGCCCATATGGTTTCTATTCATTAATGTAACATTGGCACTGTAGTTTTGCATTTTATTATATTCACAGTCATTCAACTGGCTGCATAGTATGCCATCGAGAATTTATAATTTGCTTAAACGTCCTATTGATGAGGAATCATGAGTTCCCCCTTTTTTGGGTTACTTTAATTAATTTTGATGTGAACACCTTTGAGCCTATAGTTTTCTCAGGATTTTGAATTTGATCCTTAGGGCATATTTTTTCCTCAGAAATAGCACAGTATTTGGGGATGCAAGCTCTTCACGTGTTTTTGTTTGTTGAGAGCCACTTTAGAGACATAAGTGTACTCAAACATGTCCTGAAGTATGCACATTTGGCTTTGCAAAGTTTCATTTCATACCCCTACTTCTTGTGAGAATGATTCATTGTCTGTTTTCTGCATTTGAATGTGTGTTTTAGATGTGTGCATGTACAACTATGGCATATGGATCCCGCTATACAGTATGATTATAGTGCACCCATTATGAAAGACCAAAGGTTGTATCTGTTTTGTTCACATGTAACTTGAGCTTAGAACTTGAGCCAGTAGAAGGCTCCCTCTAAATGGTTTTAGAAGGAGGGAGAAAGTTGGGGAGGAAGGAAAGCACTCTCATCAGAGCAGCCGAGCCAAGGGCCAAGGCCGTGATGTGCGTGCGGGTGCTGTTTGCTGTCAGGTCTTAGCACTTCTGGCTTAATATTTTCAAAGTACTCCTGCTGTTTTCCAACAGGTGTATTGGTTTCATTGATTTCTGTTCTTTCCTGACGTTTTTCCCTTTGGTTCAGTTACATAAATATTGAGCCTCATTGCTCGTTAACTCCTGAAGTAATTGAACACCATCAATTTCCTTAGCAAAGTCACTGAGCTTACCTGAAGTCGTTCTGAGAACGTACTAGTTTCCTAATGTGTGGAAGATTGTATGGAATTTCTTTATAAAGCAAGTCATGTATAACAGTTTGTGTTCTCTGCCTATGGTTGTGGGAACTTCATGGTTGTGTCTCCTGGAAAGGTGATCAAAACTGCCTGCTTTGTTTCAGACGATTGCTCTCCTCATTTACTTGACGGGAAGGTTAAATGATGAAGGACCATTTCTGATTCTCAGTCCTCTGTCTGTTTTGAACAACTGGAAAGAAGAAATGGAAAGGTACAGAGTAGATGTAGCTGAACTTATATTTGTAGTCTTGTCTTGTCTTACATTTTTTGATACTTGGCCTCTTTCCTGATACGTCTGGTCTGTCTTCTTATGTTAAGATATTTTTCTAGATGATGGATAAAAGATCATGAAGCAAAAATCTTGTCATATTCAATGATTTTATTCCAGAAAGGTTGAACTGAAACAGTGTAGGCAAGACAAGATCTGATAGGGGAGGATCCAGTGGGTGTTACTATTACCCTTCTACAATTTAAAGGCTAGTACTTATTCTCAGTAAATTTTGCTGATGTAAAGGAGAAACTGTCCTTCTCATAGTAACATAGGAAGTAACTAAAGTGAGAAACATTGCATTTTTAGTTAGCAGACCCTCTTAGACCTGATCCTTCTCCCTGCTTAATACAGACCTTACCCTGGGGTTTAATCATTATTCTAGGTACAGTTCTGTGACCAGCACCTAATGAATAGCATCTGCACACTGCAGTCCGTCCATGACGTGCACACACCATCTCATGGCTGTGGCATTTGGGTTCATCTGCTTCTTTCCTTGGATTTAGATTTGCTCCAGGTCTTTCTTGTGTAACATATGCAGGGGACAAGGAGGAAAGAGCCCATCTTCAGCAAGACCTAAAACAGAAGTCACATTTTCATGTGCTGCTGACCACCTATGAGGTATTCATTCATTTCTCCTAACCTGGGTCCTTAGAAGTTGTAGAACCCACTGAATTATATTGACTTTTTTTTTGAGAGCACACATTTTTCTAGGAGGATATCCACTTTCATCACATTGTCAAAGAGGGACTGTGACCAAACGAAGTGCAGGATCACTGTGCTTCAAGGTAGCTAGACATATTTCCCTCTCTACTGGTGGATTAAGGGTAAAGCTTCCCAGAAAGTGGCACTTTAGCTGCCTCTTTGTTGATGAACAGGAGGAGGCAGGCAGCAGGGCGGAGGGTTTCATGTACAGAGGCATCATGTCTGATAACCGGGGGATAGGAATGCAGGATGCCTAGTTTCAGTCTTGTTTTAAATCCTTATCTAAGTAAGACTGGGCAACTGTAAGACCGTCTACTTAACCATAACTTGTGTTTGTGTGATAGTGCTACTTAGAAATTGTGCTTAGTTTTTAACTTAGTAAACAAGTTAAAGGCTTAGATCCTGTGGTTTAAGAGAGTTAACAAGAAATAAGAAACTAGATTATTAATAATCAGAATTTATCAATACCAGTCTTTATTTTTTTAATTCTAACTTTTTTTATTTTGGACCAAGGAATGAACCTAAGGGTTCTTACCACTGAGCCAATCCTCAGCCCTTTTTATTTTTGAAGACAGAGTCTCAGTAAGTTGCTGAGGCTGGCTTTGAGCCTGCTGCCTTCCTGCCTGAGTCCACAGAAGCTGCTGGGATTCAGGTGTGGGCCACCATGCCCAGCAATACCAGTCTTTTTAATGTGTCTTCCTTAATTTTTCAGATTTGCTTGAAAGATGCACCGTTTCTAAAATCGTGAGTATACTGTACCCTGTCAGAAATTGTGCTGAATGTGTGGAAGTCTTGTCTTGTCTTACATTTTTTGATACTTGGCCTCTTTCCTGATACGTCTGGTCTGTCTTCTTTGGGTCCTGTTGATGGCAGGCATGGTGGGAATTCTGTGGTCTAACCTCTACTCTTTAGCTATGTGTTATTGGGTTGGTTTCTTAATTTCCATCAACTTCAGTGTCCTCATCTGTAAACTGGGGGTAGTTACCTTTCTTACTTTGGATGACTGTTGTGACAACTGAGATTAAATCTACATGGTTGGTGTTTATCAGATTACTAGAGATTTTTATTACTAGCAGATTTTTATTGTTGTTTTTTGGTTTTATTTTGGTACTGGGGATGGAACCCAGGAGTACTCTACCACTGAGCAACATCTCCAGTCCTTTTTATTTATTAATTTTTTAAATTTTGAGACAGGGTCTTTCTGAGTTGCCAAGGAAGGCCTTGAATTTGTAATCCTCCTGCCTCAGCTCCCAGAGTCTCCAGGATTACAGGTGGGCCACTGCATCCAGCCTGGACACTGGATTCTTTACACTGTAACTTGCACAGACACCTGTCAGGACTGCTGCTTGAGATCTCACTGTAGTATAGGAGCCTTTTCCTGGCAATTACCAGGTAGCAGTCAGTGCTGTAGAACTGACTATTTGGAAAAGAAGTTTGAAGTATACTTGTAATTTGTCCATTTAACTCTGTCTTGGTACTGGGGATTGAACTCAGGGGCATTTACCACTGAGCTGCATGCCCAGCCCTTTTCATTGTTCATTTTGAGATAGTCTCACTAAGTCGTTGGGACGGGACTCAAATTTGCAATCCTCCAGTTTCCCAAGTGGTTGTCATTGTAGGTGTGCCCCATCGTGCCCTGTGTGCATCTTTCATACTCAGAAGGTTTTGTTCTCAAAGGGCCTTATCAGTATTTTAAATATTTTTTCCTCATCCAGATTGTTGTGAATGAGTTTCTGTTTACTCTTACTTTGATGACTGGGCCCAAGATTTTATGATTCCATCCAGTATTTTGTTTTACTTAATTTACATTTAAATGAGCATATGATGTGTTCCCTCTTTTTCTTTCTTTTTACTTTATTTCATTTTATGTCGTGTCACGTTATTTCATGTCATTTCATTTTATGGTTCTGGGCATTGAGCTGAGAGCCTCCCAACTGCTCTTCCACTCAGTCCTTCCCCCAGCTCTTCTTGGCTTCTTAATATCCAACTTGTCTTGTTTTGAAGTCTCTCCATGGAAAGGGAGTTACTGCTAATAACCAGGAAGGTAAATTATAGAGCTGCCCCATGGTCTGTACAATAGAGGGATGAGGAGTACAAAGATATCCATGAAACATGGTACTATCTGGCAGGTCTCAGAAGGTAATAAGATTGGGACATAAATGTTCTTGGGTACTTTATGTAAATTGCCCCATTTTGGTTTCATGAAAATCCTCGTAGGCAGGGATTATTATTCATTTTACAAATGAGTAAATTAAGAGATTAAGAATCCAAGTAAGGCAGAGCAGACATTCAAACCCAG